GCGCGTCGCCCGTGACGTCACGGCGCCGCCGGCAGAGACGCGCGCGCGCGTGCGCCGTGGGAGGGTTTTGGGGGCTTGAGGCCGCGAAGCCAGACAGGGGTGCACGTGTGCCGCTGGGGACGCATCGGGAGGGCTCCTGGTGGGGATGGGCGGCGTACGGGGTGGCGGCACTTTCTGCGCAGTCAGGAAAGTAAATGGCGCCCGCCATTTTCCCGACTCTTTAGTAGCGTTGCTCTACCCCTCAGAACTCTGTTGTAAATCCTGGCATAGAAAGTCTCCGTTTTAGCTCCTCCCCGTGAGCCTCATCGACCACGTCCCGTTGGGCGGGATTAATCTGGCCTTTATTATGCAAAGTAGATGCCTTTTCCGGAGCGCCCGTTTTCGCGTCATTCGGAAGCGTTGCCATGGCAATCCCCGCAGCGGCGAAGCCTTCCTTTTCTCTCGCCCCGCCCCCGCAATTCCAACCAATCCGAGCGCCGTCTCTAACCCTCTGGCAGAACACCTAGCCCAATAGCAGAAGGGGAGCCCTTTCACTCCACCTGATTGGGTTGCTGGTGAGAAGGGCCTGCTGGGATTGGAGGAAAGAGAGGAGGGAGGCGGGCGCCTCTCTGCCCCCTTCAGACCAGCTGGTCAGGCCGTGGGGCAAGGCAGCGATTGCCGGCGCTGAGCGGCAGGGAGAGTCCAGTTCGTGCCGTGCGGCCGCCGCCCCCCTGGGAAACAGGCGCGCCCAAACGGGCTGGCGCCGTCCACGGACCTCGAGGAGACTCGTCGCTGAGCAGGTCGGGCCTAGGAAACCTCAGGGCCGCGGCGATTTAAGAGGGGCTCGGAGGAGAGTTTCTGGAGGGGGATAAAGGGCCTTTGGAGCTGCAGCTGAAGCCAGATCGCTGCCATCGTCTGGAATGGCTCCCCTCCCCGAGGTTCCCTCCTTTGGTTTTCAGACCTCAAGGGCTTAGGGTAGCGTTCCTCAACCTGGGCCGCTTTAAGAGGGGGGGACTTCAACTCCCAGAATTCCCCACCCCCCCTCCCTGCCCTGCGGGGGCTTGGGGGCGGAGGCGCCGCCTTCCTCCTTAGCACCACATCGTGTGGGCGCACACTAATCACTCCCCAATAG